CCTGCTACATCAAAAAAAATAAGTCTTCATAGGGCTAACTCATTTGATCTGTCATGCAAATGTTTCATAAGCCTGTAGATGAACCGGCATGAGGCATCTCTATGTGGCTCCGTACTCGCCATGTGATGTCCTCCAATAGTTTGAGAAATCCCTACGATATAAATCAAGCTCACATCATCGGACTTAGAGGAAATGCTAGAATTTTTATGGCTTTGAATATGACATCTAAATATTTTATCAAAACTGAAAGGAGGCAGTTGAGATGTAACTTGAATGAAAGTTTCAACTCCCTCTATAAATTCCAACTGTCAATCCTTTTCGACCCGGTAATAATCTTGTTATACATCCAATGCTCCTCTCTTGGGATAAGTCCATTTGGACGTTGAAGCAAATGTCACCTACATAAGTTATGAAAACATTTATTAGAATACATGCATGTGTCAAACGTGTTAATAATTTAGGACAAGGCATTAACCCCAGAAAGTTGCTATATTATATCTCTCCATCTAAGGATTGACATAATCAAAAAACTAATGATGGGGTATTGCTTAATGGGCTTGCATGATCAATTCTTCCAAAAAGTGGGAATATGAGGCTCTATAAAACTTTTGCTTTCCTTGTGGATTCATTGGCCACAATAGTAGCAATTGTCCACCAAGTTAGCCACCTTGAAGGTCCATCACCCCCAACTCTTTGGCTTCTCCTTGTGCCCTCCCAATCGGCCGGTTATCTATGATGCACACCAGCACAAGATCAATGGAGGGATCATAATTGATGCAGACCACTTCGATTTCCTAAACAATCTAAGTCAACCATCCATATAATAATTCATGCATTTTATTTTATTTTATCTATAAAGTTATAACTATACTCTTTTAATGAATATTATTAAATAATTAAAGTCTTTCACTTGCTTGAAAAATGTAATGGAGTTTAATGGCTGATCCCTCCATTGATACTTCGGCGAGTATTAAGTTACCCTTTGTGTGCTTATTTCTCCTCTTCTCTTTCACTTTGATTTATAATCAATAACATATTAACATACCCTTATAACACAAACTCTTAAAAGATCACCCTTGGATTTGACTCCCCTTATTATTCTATAAGCCGACTCCAAGCTCAAAAGCAATCCTCCCTATTTCTTCCTTAGAGCTTCTCCAGTCGAACTGCATTCGGTGTATGGAGTGGCTTTTTTCACCAATTGATCGTCAAAAATACGTCAATGGCATGGCGGGTTGAACAGTCCGACACCAAATATTTACATCGGACTGTTCCCCTAACGCAAAAAAATTTGCTCTATTTTTTAGCTTCGTGGGAAAGGCAGCGAAACAAGCAATCTCCCTCTCTTTTCTCTCCCTCAATCTCTCTCTTCCTATTTTTCTAACTAAAAGTAACAATCAACAAAATAATTCCACCTAAACTAAATAATACTTAATAAAAAAAATTAGATCTAACACTCGATTAGAAAATTACATAATGCTAACATATCTAAATCATCCAAAATATTTCCTAATACTTGCAATGTGTAGTAAGAAACAATAATCAAAGAAAAACCATAAAAAATAACCTTAAAATAGAATTCCAGACTAATCAGACTGTTTGGGGTCGGACGAGCGGAGGCGATTCGGATTGGGGGCGGCGGTCGGATTTGGGGTTGACAAACTTCGTCGGCGGCGTCGGATTGGGGGCGGTGGCTGGAGGACATTCTTCGCCGGCGGTCGGACGAGCAGAGGCGACCCTAGGAAAGAGCGAGCGACGGGAGAGCGAGCGACCGAGAGAGCGAGCGACGGGAGAGCGAGCGACCGAGAGAGAGAAGGAAAGAGTTAAAATGAAATGCCAGACGCGGGGCTCGGTGTATTAGGGCTTATACCGGCGATTTTCCGGCGGTTTGGACCGCCGATAAAAAGTCACTTATCAATGGCGGTCTAAACCGCCGGTTCTTGTTGACGTCCGGTACTACCGGTGGTTTACCGTCGATTTAGGGACCGCCGCCCTTACCGGCGGCTTATATTTGCAAAATCATCGGTGCAGCCGTCGTTAAAATCCGACGGCCAAACCGCCGGTTGTGCCACCGGTACTACCGGTGGTCCTAAAACCGCCGGTACTACCGGCGGTCCTAAAACCGCCGGTTAGAGCCGCCGGTTTAGGGCATTTTTCCTGTAGTGTCCGCCTTGCCGAGGGGGCAAAAGGAGAACTATTTTTAGTAGTGAAAATCCCGGAGCAGAGGACTCCGGAGAGTGGACGTAGGTCATATCTTGACCGAACCACTATAAAAATTCTTAGTGTGTTTTTTCCTTATCGTCATTTACTTTTTACTTGGATTTAATTTTCATAACTATTGCATAATAAAATTTGTGGAAGAAAACTTGCTTAAAGTTTTGTTGTAAAATTTCAAAAATAACAAGAAAAATTAGAACTCCTGTTTAGGGTTATTTTTATTGAGAAAAAGATTTTCACAATTCACCCCCTCTCTTGTCATTTAGTAATTTCACCCCTAACGGAAGCCTTTCGTCAATCTTCACCCTTACACAAATTCTAGCAAATTCTCTTCTCCCCCATTGAAATAAATTACCATCCAACATAAGAGGAGTGCCAATCTTGGATGCAATAATTGCAATATTTTGCTCATCCCAGCAATGAAGAGGAAGCTGAGGCATCCTGATCCAAATTGGCGAAGTTAAACCCTTCATAGATAAAGTCAAAAAATCTGGATTCCATTTTTCCATGCCTATTATGTGATCATTCACAAACCAGGGTCCACCTGAAAGCACTGCCTCCATTAACTCATATTCATTGAACGAGCACAAAAACCAACCTTTTCCAAGTGTAGTAAAATGAAATTTACCAAACTTATTCCATTGGCGCCTTACCTCCCACACAACCAAGTGTGGAGGCATCTCTTTGCCAAAAAACCTTAAATGCCAATGACTTCACCAACCTATTGGCATTAAGATTTTCGAATTCTTCACATAGCTTCACTGCCTTACCATCATCAGACATCACAACATCTTCTTCCTTGAAATCTAACTTGATGTAAGGTTTAGTATTTACATTATTAACCTTCAACTCATGAAACATCTTCTTAGGCAAAACACCAATAACCTTGTCCACAAACGAGACTTCCTTATCAACCAGAGCAGATTTGAAACCAGGTGGATTTACCTCTACTCTAACAGGATACACAGGATTAGCCAAGCAATCACCTAAATCTGCTGAAACACATTTCCTAACTTCCAAAAATCCGAACAGGAATTCCCCTAATTACCCCACACTACAGGATCAACACAGCCGACCAGTGTAGCAATACTTCTCTCTGATGCAACCGGCGACTTATTAGGGAAATGAACTTATTTTCTCACCGAATTAAGGGAATTCGCATTTATCTTGCTGTCAGGGACAGAGATTGCACTTGAATTCCCAAAACGATTCACAAAAATTTTCATTCCGAAGAGGAAGCCCCTGGATCAGGAGAGAAATTTTGGAAAACTGACGGGCCAACATATTTACAGTTAGTAGACGAATCCACCTTCTTTCCCTCACCTTCCACCAGATAAATCTTATCTTGCTGCGCAGCACTCCTCTCTGAAATGACCAGCTCTCCTCTTGCCCTTCGATGACGATCGCTTTCTTCTTGACGACCCACTGCTGCTCGAAGATGCTGAAGATCAGAAGACTCCGTCGTAGTCAAAGATGACCGGCGGCCTTCTGCCGCCATGGCCGAGCACTCTGCCTCAATAGAAGACGGAAAAACCACGAATATGAAATTTGAAAAATAATGAACTTTCTCTCTCTTGAAATCACAGATGTTCTCTCCAACTATCATGTATTTCATATAACTAAAATCATAATTTAAAAGCGACCAGGTAGAGTTCCAACTTGCATTCCACTATAGGCGAGACATAAGTCCATTGAACTTGGGCTTTCCTAAACTCTTTTTTAAAATTTAAGATATACATCACATCCACTACTTCTATATTTTGTTTGACTAGGTTCAACTCACTACCTCGTAGTATTTTACACTAGTTTTGAGATTCTTAGTCTGATCTTCAAAATCATAAGCCCTCATTTTATAAATTTTTTTTTTTTTGATCTTGTGATTGAGAATGTAAATTCTAAATTTTTAATAAAATATTAACTCAAATAATAAATCTCATTCTAAATATCTATATTAAATATATAATAAAAATAAAAAATTCTAAAAATATATATATATATATATATATATATTTGAATCTATTGTAATATAGCATGCGTTAACTTCAATGCAATATTTGATTATAAAAATAGGAACACCCAAATCAATGGGTGATTTTATTTTCCCACACTTAGGCTTCGTTTGGGACGACTTTTTTATTGCTTTCTAAAACGGAATTTTAGTACAAAATTTTTTAATTTTGCACTAAAACTCCGTTTTAAAAAACAATAAAAAAAACCGTCCCAAACGAAGCCTTAGTCATTGAGATTTTATTGCCTAACTAACTTATGTGAGTTCCATACATTTTAGATACTATTTTAGTTGCATAGGTGTGCGACTTTCCTTGGTATTATTTATTTCTAAAGGCCATTTCCCCCAATACTACTTTTGATTAGTCGTGGATTCTAAGTTATTTTCCTATATTAGAACTGTAGCATTTCAGAATTGTAAAAGAAATGGATTGAATAAATATTTATTTTATGGAGTAGGTTTTACATATAAAAGTATGAGAAGTGTAGGGACTCCCTCATGGGTAAAATATCTTCAGGTTCTTAGCATCTCTTTCTTTTGTGCGTTTGCGAAGGACCAATTGGTGTATTAAAATAATCTATTTTATTATGCAATTTATCAAAAAAATTTAGATCGAAGAAGATGAGGTCATTTCAATTTTAAGAGAGAAACCTTATGAAAGTACCCTTCCATCTTTAAACAAAGTTTGGGCATTACTGTAATTTAGAATAAAAAAGTATGGCAAAGCAAAATTCAAAATGAAAAAAAAAAATTATTTAATAGTTTAAAATTTTATATCAAAAAATCTGATACAATTTTAGTTAGAACATAATTTGCAAACATTAGATTTACTTTGAGATTATTGTTATATAGTAATAAAATTTATTACACTTATAAAAGCAAATGCAATGATTTCATGCCAAACATTAATAAAAGAATCATATTAGAATATCCTAAAATGTTTTTCTTTAATATTAATAATAGAAATCTATAGTATATATTATTCTAATATATCGTCATTATTAAGTAAATATTTTATTTATTTTCTTTCATTACAATTTACTATTTCATACCAAAAAATTTTTAAAACAACATATTATTCAATTCAATAATAGTCACTCATCAAAGTTTCATGTATGTGAATCCTTAAATCCTAATTTGATTTAGCTTTAATGTAGTATATAGCAAATTGGTTAACTTTTATATTATCACTATTAATAAATCAGACTTTTGCAGCACTTTTTAGGGCATCAAACATTAAAATGGGGGGAAACATATTTTTCCTACAGTAGCGACTTTTAAGGCTTCGCTTGGGACAGCGTTCGTATTGCTTCCTAAAACAACTTTTTTGTATAAATTTTCAAATTCAAAAAAATTTTGTACTAGAAAGTTAGTTTTAGAAAGCAAAAAAAAAAAAAAAAAAAAAAAAAAAAAAAAAAAAAAAAAAAAGCTATCCCAAACAAAGCCTAAAACCGCCGCTACTAATTAGCTGCCAATGTTATGAATATTTAGGAGATTTTAGTAAGATTATACCTCTATGTAGTAGTGGTTTATAAATTGCCGCTATGAACACCTACGAAAATGTCATGTTTTTGGCAATGTATATTTATTTCAAAATAAGATATTTGAAATTTTGATCGAAATTTTGATCAATGTTGCAAGTAGTTACATTCATGCATATAAATGGCATGGCATGCATCCCTGCATCTCAATGATTAATTAGACTGAATATTACCCATTAAATCCACCGCGCTTTACACTGAGCCATGCATATGGGTTCTTATATATTAATAATTTGTTCAATGTGGCCATTTTAATTCCTTTTATGCGTCGGCTCATGACCTATATATGTATGTTTATAACTCTCCCTTTAATTTTCAAGATATTTCTTCTGTTCACGCTTTTTTGTTTTTTGTTCTAAGAATTAACATTCACTTGAAGGAAATCAGACATGGGAGACGTATGTGAAGTTAGATTTCAAACTTAATTTGATTGATTTAATCTAATACTGATTTGATTTTTTACAGAAAGTAGGGAAGGAGAAGAAGACTGCCAATGGCGGGGATACGAAGGAAGATTATTCGGAGAAGATCATTCTCAATACGCATTGTGAGAAATGTGCCTCCAAAATCAAACGAAAAGCAAAAAATTGCCAAGGTATTTATTTATTCACTCATGGTCATGGAGTTATAAAAACATGCATGGGATCAAATCTTTGAATTCTAAAATGCGCACTACTTAATTAATGAATTTAGGAGTGGAGAGTGTGGAGGTGGACAAGGCTAACAACAGATTGACGATCGTCGGGCACTTCAAAGCATCGGCGCTCCTACTTCATTTGGAGGCTGAATCTCATCAGAAGCTCGAGATCGTCTCAATCCAACCAAGCTCAAAGAAGGTCGGCCACGGATCCACTAAATAATTACTTATCTTTTCTGCACTTTTAACTACCACCTAATTAATTAATAATGTAAGATATTTAATTCAAACGCCCAGAAAATAAAAATTTATTGATTTTAGGCTTCCACCGTGGTGATCAAAATACGTATGGACTGCGATGGCTGCATTAAACGAGTGAAGAAGGCTATTCTGAGGATTATAGGTAGTTAATAATGTCCCTATCATATCAAATATATGTTATGAAAATTTATATCAGAATATTTAAATGAATTTAAAATTTATTTTTTGAATGAGTGAACGAAGATATCGAATCATTAAAAATTATTTTTTAACAATACCGCTTTCTAAAAGGCGACTTGTCTTTGATTTTATGGTATGAGCAGGAGTGGAAGAGATAAATGTCAATGCTGAAGAGGATCTGGTGACCGTCGTAGGGGTCATGAAAGTGGATTTACTCTCATCGTACCTCAAGAAAGAGATCAACCGAAGCGTTGCGATTGTTTCGGAAACTACTGGGGGAGGCAGCGGAGAAGGCGTCAGTGACGGAGTCAGAGCCGCCGCTAGCGGTGAAGGTGGCGGTTTTCCCCTCAGCAGTGGCACAGATGGTGGCGGAGCCAGTAGTAGAGCCGGCGGCAGAGGCTGCGGAGCAGCCGACAGCAGCGACGAAGCCGGGGCCATCATCAACAACGGTGGAGTAGCCGGCAACAGTTCTGGCGCCATCTTCGGTGGTAACGGCTGTGCCGTCGCCGTCGGCAGCGGAAAGAAGGTTAAGGCCGGCGGAGAGAAGCCAAAGGAGGCGGAAGGCATTTGCGTAGGTGAAAACAAAGAGGAGGCAGGCGGCAGTGGCGAGAAGAAGAAGGAGAAGGCGAGTGGTGGGGTTGGTGACAAGAAAGATGAGAAAGACTGCGGCTGCGAGAAGGAGGAGTGTGGTGGCGTTGGCGAGATAAAAGAGAAGGGAGGTGCCGCCAGCGAGAAAAAGAAGGAGAGGGTGGGATTTGTCGGTAGTGAGAAGAAAGACGAGGGAGGAGCTGACGGCGAGAAGAAAAAGGAGAAGGGTGGTGGTAGAGGTGAGATGAAAGAAATGGGAGGTGAGGGTGGTGTCGCCAATGGCAGAAACAGTTCATTCGCCGGCGGGAGCGGCGGCGGTGGAAACAAATCCGGAGGTGGAGGTGGAGGAGGAGGCGGTGGCGTAACCCGACGTAACATCAGTGCACTCGCCGGCGGGAGCGGCAGTATTTTTCACAGAGCCGGCGGTGGAGTTGTAGGTGGCGGCGGCTACAAGACGAATGAGGAGGAGGAAGAGAGCGATGATGAGGACGAGGAGGGAGACAGCGACGGAGAGAAGAACAAGGAGGAGGGAAGTGGCGGTGGTGAGAAGAAAGAGGTAGGAGGCGGGGGAGAGAAGAAGAAGGAGAGTGGCTGGCTTGGCGGCGGTAGTGAGAAGAAAGACGAGGGTGTCGCCGGCGGCGAGAAAAAGAAAGCGAGGATGGGTGGTAGAGATGGTGAGAAGAAAGAGGAGACCCTCGGCGAGAAGAAGAGGGTGGGTCGTGGCGTTGGTGAGATGGAAGAAGAGGAATGTGCCGGCGGCGAGAAGAAGAAGGATGGCGGTGGTGGTGGTGAGAAGAAAAAAGAGGGAAGCGGCAGCAGCGAGAAGAAGGAGAAGTGGGGCGCTGGCGGAGAAGAAGGCAGAGTAAAGAAAGAAGAGGCAGCGAAGGTGTTGGCAAAGAAGACGTTGGCTCCGCCGGTTGTGGTGGAGATGAATAAGATGGGTCTCCGCCGGTTAGAGGC